GAACTTTATTAATCCAAGCCAAATACAAATACTTACGACAATTATATTTTTTGCCTAAAGAAAACAATTTTTTATAATATTAAAGAATAGGATATCTATATAATTTTTTCGTTAACTCATTTTAAAGCACAATAATATAAATATTTCAAGCTACAGGTTTAATTTATAAAGAAAACTTTTTTATAATATTAAAGAATAGGTATTAAATGTAATTTTTATTTATATCTCACGTCCCCACACAATGATCGCATACATCTAGAAATGAAGATATTCGCGAAGAAAGCTCTAATACGACTTCTGCAAGGTGGATGATATTGAGGAACACGTATTATTCTGCAACACCTTTTCATTGAACAACATAGTAGAATATAAGCTTGTTCCTTACGTTCTTCTGTAATTTCTGGAGCTGAACCACCACTAGTAGCTACTTGTTTGATATTCGTTTGTGTGTTGTCTGAATCTGAACAGTCAGATAGCACAGTCATTGCAACGTAATCTGAGTTTGGTTGACCAGATGTTGATGATTGATCAGCACTTTCATAGCGCACATTTTCTTCTCGATTTTTTGACAAAGGAACTTGAAACAACGTAACTTCATCATCGTCATCAATTGGATCTGTAGCTGCATCACAAAATCCAGAAGGATTGGATATTTCAGTATCAGATAACATTCTAGTACGTACCAATAAAGGGTCATCGTAGGTTGCATTTTCTTGTTCGTGCATCATAACCAATTGTAAATCACTTTTGTGAAGTGCACCTTTAGTGAGAGTGCCTCTAATATTTCGCACCACTCTTGAGGATAACTCTTTGAGACGATACATTGCACCACTTTATATGTTTTCACTGTAAGAAGAGATTCACTATTGAACTGGTACTACTTACAAATAGTTCCACTCCCTATTCTTAACTAATCGATACAGTTTGAAAACGCAAATATTACCAACTGCACATTAGTTTTTATTCGCATTTTTTATCCTTGTCTAAACCACATTAATAGTGATGTGCTAAAAATGTTTGTTTATTTGAAATTGTGATATAAAAATAATATTTTAATTTAATCATCCAGAGAAGTTCTGATAGACTATAGAGTGATTTATAAGGTTTTTTTTTATTTTAAGTCTATTACTGCAGTGTCTAGGGTAATTATGTTTAAAAATCTAGTTGACTTATTCAGAATTCTATCGAGGATGTTATTCAATTTTCTTTTGGTCCGGTCAGGAACTCTATAAAAATATCTTAATTTCGGAAGCTTGTTAGAAACTACAATTTCAATATGTTCCCGAAAAAGTTGTGAAAAATTGACTAAAAAAATTAAAATAGTTCTGAAACTATTTTAATGTTTCATGTTTAAGTTAAATTAAACAGTTACATTTAAAAAAAAATGACGTTACTATTTTCAATGCGGAAACAGCCTAAACTTTTAGAACGTTTAGGCTATTTTGAACCTAAAATCCTCAGACATAATTATAAAGGCGAACAGAAAAACGGATTATGGCGTAGGCGCTATAATTTTGAACTTAACCGCTTTTATAGTGAACCTAGCAATGGTGCTCCATCAAAATAAACAGGTTGCTAGGCCACTTAGAGAGAATGAATAAGATTGAGCCGTCGAAACACATTTATAACCAAAGACCAGATGGAGTGAGGGGAAGAGCTAGATACACCAATTCGACGGATAGTAAGGAATGGAAGCTGATCCTAGAACAGGACTAACTGTTGTAGAGTCAATGATTATTATATTTGGCATTTTGTTTTTCTTGTCACATTATCTGACATTATTTGCCTAAATAAGCCGTAGCAACACTTATTGGCATTGATAATTCGCCTCTTCACTTCCTCTGCAACGTTGTTATCATACGTAACTAGGAATCCTAAGTATGTAAAGCTTTTCACTACTTCAATGTTGCATTCTCCCACATTTAGCCATACCGGCTCTCAGTCAGAGTGAAATCTGGTCTATTATGTACCACTCTGTGGTCTGTGAGCACAGTGCGGTCCCAGTATAGTTTGTAGATTAGATAGAAGTATATTCTCAGGAACATATTGATAAAATTTTAGATGGTTTGTTTAGTGAAGTCCCAGATTGATGACTATCTCTTGATGAAGGATCTTTTCTACTGGGTCATGCCGTTCCTTATGTTCAGTTGCAGCAAATGCCTGGTAGCCCCCGGTAATATAAATAAGATGTCGGATGGTTTCTTGGACTTGACACCCATATCGGCATTTGTCATTTTGGACCTAAGGGTCTTTGGCGTTATATTTCAGGTAATTGTTGGTTGGTATAACCTGATCAGGAATGGCGAGTAATGAACCTTCTGTTTTAAGAAACATCTTTTCTGATGTCAGCCAATGGTCCGACACTATATTGTCGACATGGTTGTCACTCATGCAGAGATTTACCCATTCAGATGCGCATTTTTCGTCCCTAGAAAGGTGGTTTATTGGCATTTCTGGTTCCCTCAATTTAAGCGATGTTGTGGCATCTACTTACATTAGATGTAAATTAGTTCTTAACATAGTAATCTGTTTTTTCAATTGCTTACTTATATCCATGATACTATGAATAACAAGATAGGATCTTCCCGTAGCTCAAAATCGGTCGGGTTCGCGCATGCCGTCATTGGAGACTAGAATTTGAATTCTTGTTAAAGTTAAATGAGATTTGTATGCATTCTGTGATGAAATTACTAGACGAAAATAAGTTAAGAGGTTTAATAATTACAATAATCGTACACATAAGGATATCTCCAAACTATTTATTAAAGATTATTTATTGATATATACAAAAACTGACATTTCGAACGTGCAAGTCTCCAATGACGTCACAAAAACATGCGCAATATCTTATCTTATAGTCATAGTATCATGCTTATATCCATAAGTCCTCTTCCGTTGTGCCTTTGTGAGGTGTGTTCGTACTTTTCACTGAAAATTTTCTGTATCCGTTTTAGTCCACTTAATAATACCAAATGGATAGCTAAGCGCGGAATATCCGTAGGTGTTTAATGCTTTAAACAAATTTTTACTGGTAAGATATGAGCGAAACAGACGTTTTACCCTACGTCTGAACTCTGAAGTTAATTCGATTATCATTTTTCATGGTCCATTTTCCGCGCTTGCTTTATTCCGAATGATCTATACAGTCATGTCATTTTCACTCATAACCTCGATGTTTTGCCTATTTTGCATATCGAATCCTCCGAGCTGAACCTTTCCTCTGACTATATTCAATGCACAGCACTTATCTAGACCGAAGTACATACTAATATCATTCTAGAGATATTCTAATGAATCTGAATATTTAAAATGGATCGACGTAGAAAATATAGGCCCTGAAGTAACTGCTAGGTAAAAAGTTAAGGTTATAAAAAATCTATTTTTACAATTTTACTGTACTCTTCTTGTAACTGAAAGTTTAAATTGCTTGCCAGGTTTTTACTGAATTTTAACCACCCTCATAATTTTTGACCCCCTAAGCAACTACCGCTGAATTTTACCGCTGCCAGGACCATCGACATCCAAAGCTGGTGAGAGCAAGAAGACAACCACAAAACAGCATTCGCAAATAATTACCTCCACTCCATACAAAAATGTCCTTCAAAAAAAAGCTGATCAAAAATTATTATTCAAACAAAGAAAAGCGCAACAGGGCTATAAAAGAAAAGTTTTTTCTAACGGCATAATGAGAAAACTTATAGGGATATAACTTTAGAAGATAAAGACCATGATAATGAATATAAGGACATAGATACGAATGGGATTAAGATATGTTTAATGTGCGGGGGAGCTTGGCAAAATGGAGAAACACTGTTACCAACACTTCCAAGATTCCAAGACCCTATCCTAATGTTTCTAAACTGTAAAGGTGCTTCCCCTGAAGTAGTCCTCATCGAGAAGTCAGAACGGAAGCTCAGTTTGCTTCCTGAACATTTTACCTCAGGAGATTCCATCATTTCTTATTTTCAGTAGATGTACATTTTATTACATTGAACAAGGGCATTTCATTATTATTGCCTGAAGAGATTTTCATATGTTTGATGCCTGAATACTTTTTCTATCGGTATAATATCCTGCAGGATTTACCCAACATGCCACAACAAAAGTACAATATTATCCCACACGCCCGTATCCCGCCATAGAAGGGGCACGTACTTTGTTAAGGATTATAGAAGTTAAGGATCAATTGTAGTTAGTTTAGTTAGAACATGTTAGGTTAGGCGAACGTTATTACACATTTGCTGCTGATTGGATGAGCACTTAAGCCCAATTGCCAAAAAAAAGGATAAATTAAAAAATAATAGGTACACTATAAGATGATTCATGCTAATACCCCAGAATAATAAATAATCAGAATGCCCACTCTCAAATGAGGCCTTTGAAGTTTGTCAGCACGCGAACGCCATGTTTTAGACGGAAACATAGACTCGAATTGAGAAATTTGTGACAAGCTACGACACAACTGTAATTTAAATTTTTAGATATTAATAATTTAGTACATTTGAAATAATTGAATCTATTCTTCAACTAAAAGTACGAATAAAATAGTGTATATTATGTCTGTAGTTGCCGTAAATAAATTAAACCGGGTTAATTTGTTTATGCACACCAGATAAAATGTCACTGAACAGCACTGATTCCGTTTAAAACATGGCTGATTCCGTCTGTGCGAACGAGATGCGCGTACTTATTTTTTCAAACAGAGTGGGCATTCTGATGTTTATTTTTCTGTGCTAATACTAAATAAAAATTATATCACTAATAAGTATTGTAGGCAACTTACAGGATAGCTAAAAACTATTCTGATATATTTTTAGTAAAAGATCGTGAAAGGATCTATTCCGTCATAGGATTTAAATAATAGTTCATTTAGAATAGAATTCACATAGATAGATCTTTTGAATAGATCTTTTGATCTAATTTAATTGTTTTAAATTTACCGCTGCTCTGTATGTCAGTTCCTGTCAATGTCAGTAGTGTCAATGTTTAGTTATGTATGGTTTAGTTTGGAAAATGGCGTATTAGGGACAAACGACAAGGGAATGAAATTGGTATAACTTAATTCAGATAAATAACAAGGAGTTATAAAAAGTTGGATTATACCTTAGGTTGTGAAAGGTTCATTATATATTTGTTAAAAATGTCGGATAATGAGGATGATTTTATGTGTGATGATGAAGAAGATTATGGTTTGGTAAGTAATTTTTGACACATAACCTGTTTCTCTAATAAATCGTATTTGTATATAAATGCCGAATATTTATGTTCTTAATTAGATACCGGTAAGTTTATATATTTAGTTAATACAACATATTAAGCTAATTTTAAAAGTTCTCATCTATCTTACTCGTAGATTTTTTATAGATAACATTTAAATATTAAAAAACCTCAATATTTCAGTAGTACCTGGTTTTAAAACTAAATTGTATACCTTAATTACCTTTAGAAGATATTTTAACTAGTGTTAATTTAATTTTAGCCGTTTATTTATAAATTTGACTTAACTTCTTTATTTAAATTTTTGTGAAACATTTTGTTTTTGTTATGTAGTCTAATAATAATATAATAGCATTCTAAGCAGTAACTTGCAATAGTTCAATAGCAAAAAGATTAGAGCTGATATATCAATATTGCTAAAGAATTCAGGTTTTAATTTGGGTACTAGACATAGGTACTTTGTCAAACATTATGGATAGATTTACTTAACTACAAAAATATATGTTTAGAAGATAATTAGACACTTGCTTTTGTTCTTAAAATACTGTAATGCCGTTAACACAAAGAATTAAATGCTTATGTTAATTTGTACTATAGGGAATGAATAGGACAAGTATTTTTGTAACTTCTAGAGAAGATACACCTATCATAATGTTAGAGCTTATTAACAGTTAAAACAAATTTTCAGTCATATGAAAATATTTATCAAATCAATTTTTAGGAATATTCTGAAGATAGTAATTCAGAACCAGATGTGGATTTAGAAAATCAATACTACAACAGCAAGGCCCTCAAAGAAGATGAACCATCAGCAGCTTTAGCCTCATTTCAAAAAGTATTGGATTTAGAGAGTGGAGAAAAAGGAGAATGGGGTTTTAAGGCCTTAAAACAGATGATCAAAATTAACTTTAAATTGGTATGCTGTATTATTTACTTTTTATAATAATGTTTGATAATTAAATTATATGAGAAAGAGAATATATAGGAATTAGGCTAAGAAATATTAGACAATGGTGTGGTACCACAGTAGAAGAATTATTTCTTATAGCAGTCAATAGAGAACAGATTCAGGAAATGATAAATATCATCATCATCATTGGTGCTACAGCCCTATAAAAGAGCCTCAGCCGTCCCAAGTCTATTACGCCAGTCAGTTCTATTCATTGCCAACTGTTGCCAGTTTGCTGCGCCTATTTTTCTACCATCCTCATCTACACCATCCCTCCATCTGAGTTTTGGCCTACCCCTACTTCTACTTCCCACAGGTTGTGACATAAAGATTCTTCTAGGAGGGTTGTTCTGCTTTGATCTTGCCAGATGTCCTGCCCATCTTAGTGTTCATATTTTTATAAGAGATATTATGTCTTTACCACCAAATATATATATATTATATATATATATATATATATATATATATATATATATATATATATATATATATATATATATATATGTGATATATCTCGTAGTTGTACCTCCTTCTCTAAACACCATTTTCACATATGCTACCAAATATTCTTCTTAGGGTCCTTTATTCAAATATAAGAAAGAGGTTTTCATCTGCTTTGAAAATGGTCCATGTCTCCCATCCATATGTCAACACTATTTGCGTAAGGGTTTTGTACATGGTTATTTTTGTTTTTTGGCTTAAGTTTCTGCTTCTCATATGTCTACTCACTCCAAAATAGCATTTGTTTGCTAGGATTATTCTTCACTTGATTTCTTCTGTCATGACATTCTCCTTGGTGATCAGGGAGCCTAAGTATGTGAATTTGTCCAATACTTCAAACGTAGAGTTATCAACAGTGAATCAGTGGCCAATGTTTCTGGCTCTATTGTTGGGTGTTGATGCCATTATCTTAGTTTTCTCCTCATTTATTTGCAAGCCCATATTTTTTGAGGCATTTGACAAGGTGGTATACATTTCTTCTAGTTTGCATGTTGTGCAGGCAACTAGGTCAACATCATCTGCATATGCCAAAATTTGGCATCAGGAGAGAGAATGACCATAATGTAGCTTCACCTATTTTAAAAATTTTAATCTGTTTGTCCTTGTGTAGTGTAGTGTAATGTATAATTTTATGTTTATGACATTCTGCAATTGTTGGATAGCCTAAAATTTGACGAAATGCCCCTGAAGATGCTCTAGGAATCGAAAGTACTTGAGCAAGATTTAATTAAAATTAAATTTAAAAATCCAAAATGATTAACTTCAAAACCTTTTTGGACTAATCCGTCCATCTTCAGTATACTTTGTAGTACTTGCAATATAACCTCAAAACCAAACAGTGGTTGGGTTTAAATGGATTAAACAATATTTGAAATTCTTAGAGTTTTCTACATCCAGAGTGTAGGAATGTTATAAATGCCAACTCTCCTGGGAATTATACCTTTAAGTGTGAATTTCTTCAAACTATGTACTTGCAGGTGTAAGAGTGGCCAGTATCTTAGTTTGGTTTTCACTGTTTTTTTTTTCTATTTTTACTAATAGTTTATTTTTAACTATTTTACGAGATGTTGTGTTTGTAGGGTAACTTTGAAGAGATGATGACAAGATACAAGCAGTTGCTCACATACATTAAAAGTGCTGTAACCAGAAATCATAGTGAAAAATCAATTAACTCTATTTTAGATTACATTTCAACATCTCGCAATGTAAGTGTATGTATTTATATTTTACTGATTACATTACTTTAAATAACATTATTTAAACCTTATTTTTAATTAATAATTACAAGTTTACTGTCTTATTTATAATAACAATTATTAATTATTAATAGTCACTTAATATTTTTTACAAAAAGAACAAAAGAAATCTTTTAAAGAATAAAACAAAGTTTTATTCTTCTCATTTTCGTCTTTCATTTCAGGGCTCTTTTATTTAGAAGTCTAGAAAAGTTATGAATACCATTATCGCTTGCATACAGAACTAAGGTGGTCAAAAATAAAATGGGCAAATATGTTAGTCATATTTGATTGTCTTGAAATGCACCTAGATTTTCCAATGTAATATATCAGAAATAAAACAGTAAATTTTATTATATTGAAACTGTCATTTCATTAAGGGCATGTCACCTTTTTTTAAATATCACTTTTTGGTGCCATTCTACATGTTTTTTGTGAAAAGGACACATCTTCATATACCACAAATCAACATAAAATTCAAACAAAAATTGGAGTCTGTTTGAAAATAGGAACACTCTTGAACTTCTAGGAAATAGGACTTCTCTTGAAAAGGAACAGAAGTTTTAATTAATTGACTTGTGTTTATGTTGAAATGACAGGCTCAGTTAGGTTTTTATATTTAAAAACCCAAACAGGCTAATTAGACAAAACGTTTCCATATTCCATCATCAGTGTCCTAGAAAATATATAACCACTTAATTAAAAAGAACATGAGGTTGAAATTTTGACTAAGGTTAATGCAAAGTGTGGTTAATACTTACTAGTACATGAATGTAGCCACTAAATATATAGGTAAAAACCCGTTAACAAATAATTAGTTACATTTGGTTTACAGTATTTCATATAATATGATATGTTACCTAATCCAACGGTAACTTTAACATCTTAACATATTATAAGAAATATTGTAAACCAAATGTAACTAATTATTTGTTAACGGGTTTTTACCCATATATTTAGTGGCTACATTAATGTATTCCTAGTAAGTATTAACCACACTTTGCATTAACCTTAGTCAAAATTTCAGCCTCATGTTCTTTTTAATTAAGTGGTTATATATTTTCTAGGACACTGATGATGGAATATGGATTCCGAAAACGTTTTGTCTAATTAGCCCATCTAGGTTTTTAAATATATACCTTTTACAAAGCATTTTAATAAAGTTTTTAATATATGGTATACAGCCAATTACAGGAACGTAGATTCCTTGTGGAGGTTCAGTTAAATGTTTATTATTACTTATATGAAATTCTTGTTATAGTATATGTTTTTAGAAAGATTTGTTTACAGATGGAACTCCTACAAAATTTTTATGAGACAACCTTAGAAGCTCTGAAAGATGCCAAAAATGACAGACTGTGGTTTAAAACAAATACAAAATTGGGCAAGTTATATTATGATCGTGAGGATTTTATTAAATTGGCAAAAATACTAAAACAGTTACATCAGTCATGTCAAACTGATGATGGAGAAGATGATCTTAAGAAAGGCACACAATTACTGGAAATTTATGCACTAGAAATCCAGATGTATACAGCTCAGAAAAATAATAAGAAACTTAAGATGCTATATGAGCAGTCTTTGCATATTAAATCTGCAATACCTCATCCTTTGATTATGGGAGTTATACGAGGTAATGACTTATGTTTTTAATTAGTATACCATGTATATAAACGATTCTGTGTTAAATGTTACAAACCAGGTCCTTAAGATTTTTGACATTAATATTTTTCTGATGGGCATATAAATATATGCCCATATAAATATATATTTTTCTTTATAAAATATATTTCAGTAATTTATATTTGGTTTATTTTCTCATAAATATTGCTATAGTAGAATCTCACTTATCCAACACTATTAAAAAACAGAAAGTGCCAGATTATTGTAATACACAAATTATTGGATTGACACACAGCATAAATGTGGTTTTACCTTTACTTACTTTACAACCTGCTAAGCTCGCTTCTTTAGAGGATTCAAATGTTTTGTTGGACAACAGACTACTCTCATTTACCTTATAGATTTTTTTGTTTTCTTTAATCATCAATCTGGCTAATTAATAAAATGAACTGCTTTCATATTTAACCTTTATTTTCTCTGATTATATTGGATTACTACTAATTACAAATTCAATCTCTTAACATTTTATAAACTATCTATCATCTATCAGTTCTCTTCTTCTTATTAGAAAGAGGGCAGAAAGGAGGTTTTTAGCGATTCACAATACCCTCCCTCATTAAAAACCTTTCAAGCATAGAAAATTCTTAAATGTAGAGAAACTCATTACAGGTAGGCCTTTTGTAAGCCCATCAGCTTGTTGCTTTTTAGAACTAATATACCTTAAATCTAAAATTCCCTTCTCTACATACTCAGTAACAAATCTGTACTTTAAATCCATATGCTTCACTCTCTTGTTATTTCCCTGATTTTTTACAAGTGCTAAACACCCTTGGTTATCATCAAACATTGTTATTTGTTCCACTTCAATATTTAAATCAATTAATAATTTTCTCATAAATAAATTTTCTGTAACACAAGCACATAAAGCTACTAGTTCAGCTTCCGTTGTTGATATAGTTATACAGTTTTGTTTTCTTGTTACCCATAATACTACATTTCCAAATAACTTTATTACATAACCAGTAACTGATTTTTTATCAATTCGGCCACTTCCCCAATCAGAATCTACAAAACTTACCATTGGCTGTTCATTTTTCCTACAATATTCCAAACCCAGATTTTTAGACCCCTTTAAATATCTCAGTACTCTTTTTAAATGAATCCATATTTCATCTGATGCCATGTCTTGGTATCTAGAGAAATAATTAAGAGTGAAACATATGTCAGGTCAACTACCTAACATAAGATACATTAAGCTACCTATTAATTGTCTCACAGGTTTATTTGAATTATTATTATCACTGCATTCAAATTCAATTTTGGATCTATTGGTATAGAAGTAGGATTTCAAGAATCCATACCAAACTTTTTTAAGATCTGTTTAATATATCTTGTCTGACTAATATGTAAAATACCTTTGTCTCTATCATAGTTTATTTCTAAACCAAGAAAATATTCAAGTTTACCCTTATCCTTCAATTCAAACTTTTTCATTAACTGCTTTACAATATAGTTTATAAAATCATTATAAGGACCACAAACTATTATATCATCTCATAAATTAAAAGATATGTTGCAAAATCATCATTACTTATAATATATAAACAAAAATCATTCTCTGACCTTATAAATCCAATTTCAAGTAAATAAGTGTTAATTTCTATGTTCCAACATTTTGATGATTATTTTAACCCATACAATGCTTTATTCAACCTATATACTTCATTTTTACATTCTACTCCCTCTGGCGAATATATATAGACTTCTTCCAAAGTTCCATTCAAGAATGCTGACTTAACATCTAGTTGTCTGAAATAAAATGAAATTTGATTTCCAATAGCCAAGATCATTATAATGGTGGTCATTTTCGCTACTGGAGAATAAATTTCTTCATAATCTGTTCCCTTCTCTTGTGCAAATCCTCGAACTACTAATTGAGTGTTATATTTATCACATTGACTCTCTTCACAAGGTTTAAAAGTATATACCCATTGCATATCCAAAATATTCTTTCCAACAGGTGTTTTGTTGACTATGTCCCAGGTACCATTTTTATTTATTGAATCAATCTCCCTTTCCATTGCCTTAACCCAGCAATATTTATCATCCCTTTCTTTTACTTCTTCAAATGACTGTGGCACGTCTTCAACCAAATTCATGGCACATAGAGCCATATAAGTCTCATAATCTTCTAACCATTTTGGTGGCTTTATATTTCTATTTCCTCTACGTTCTGCTTGACTTGTGCTCTGTTCTTCATTTCTTACTTCTTCATTAATACTAACTTGATCTATTTCATTTCTGCGATTCATTTCCTGTTTTTCAATGTTGTCTACCCTATCCATACCTTCATCATGTTTGCTCCTAACTTCTCCGTCTTCATCTAGTGTTGCCAATCCTTTAAAATAAAATTCATTTTCATTAAACTTTACATCCCTGGCAATAATTAATTTGTTTTTAGTTGTATTCCACAACCTATAACCTTTAGGTGCATAGCCCAACATTACACATTTTCCTACCTTATCATCAAACTTACTCACCAATTCATCAGAAATGTGAGCATACAATCAGAAAAGTGAACAAGTACTTCCAAAAACTTTTAAATTTCTAACATCTGGTTTTCTATTGTTCCATATTTGAGCTGGTGTAACATCTCCATCCAGGCTTTCCGAAGGTGACCTATTTATCACATAACATGATGCTGTTATAGCTTCTCCCCAGAAAGACTTAGGAACCATTGAAGCATTCATAATGCATCTAGCTCTTTTCACCAAAGTATGGTTCATCCTCTCTGCCTTACCATTTTGTCGAGGTGTGTATGGTACTGTATAATCTAATAGAATGCCATTTTCTTTACAAAACTCTCTAGATTCATTTGAAACATATTCACCCCCATTATCACATCTTAATTTAGAAACTTTGAATTAAATTTTGCTTCTACAAACCTCAAATATTCCTTAAATTTACTCAAAACCTCACTTTTATTTTTAATTAAAAAAAACATAGTAAAATTTGAAAAATCATCTATAAAAGTGTATTTCATCAGAATATACTATTTCTAAAATTTTATTACTTTTTGTATCCTGGTTGAAAAAGGTAACCTTGAAAACTTTCCCTTTATACATTGTTCACAAAAATTCACCCTGCCAATATGTATGTCCTTGTTTATTCCATCAACTAAATTCTTTTTAATTAATTTTTCTAGTGATTTAAAATTTAAATGTGAAAACCTTTGATGCCATCTAATAAATTCTTTATTTTGGTCATTTTGGACAGAGTAACATTTTTGTTGAACTACTTCAAAATTGATTTTGTATAAACCATCTCTTTTACCTGATCCTATTAAACAACTGTTCTTAATTAATTTTACACCATTTTGAAAAATTACTGTAATCTGAGACATTTAAAATCGTTTTAAAGAAAGTAAATTTTTTCGTAACTGTGGTACATAAAAAGCATTTTCAATTTTACATTCTACTTGTCGACCACATACATTGCTAAAAACATTAATATTTCCAATACCATCTGCGGGTAAATAGTTAACATTTTTTGCTAATGCTATATCTGTAGGTTTATCCAAAATTACCAAATCTATAAATATACTTTTATCATTTAGTAAGTGATCAGTACATCCTGAATCAATCACAAATTCTAAGTTATTTACTGTTTCACTATTTACTACATTTTTACCTATCTCAGTTATAAAACATACCTTAGACACTTCATCAGTTATATCATCAAACTCATGTGACCTATCCTGCTGTTGGGTGAAGTTGCTTCTAAGCATTCCTCTGTTGTGTTGTAAGTTTCTCATAACTCTGTAACTGTTACCTCTATTTGACCCATTTCCTCTAAGATCATTCTGAAAACCTCTTTGACTCTGAAAATTTGTAAATCTGCCAGACCCTCTTGGATAACTTGTGGATACTCTTGCTCGACATTCTCTTTTATAATGGCCTCTTTTTCCACACCTATAACAAGATGTGTCAACATTGAAAGCAACTTGTTCAGGCACCTCTTTTCTTCTTCACTCAATAACCTTTTTCATATGATAGTACACCAGATGCTAAATTTTCGATAACTCTTACCACTGTTTCATAGGATTTTAGCAAAGTTAACAGCAAATTACATATTATATCTTCATCTTCAGTTTTTACACCAGTGGCTCTTAACTGCCTCAAGATTTCGTCAAATTCACAAATAAATCGTTCCAATGACTCACACTCTTTCAATTTCATGGACAGCAACTTTTTTTTTAGGAACAGTTGTCCTGGTAGCCCCTTTTTCTCATATTTTGCTTCTAAATTTTTCCACATATGGTATGCCTCTTCTTTGTCCTGCAATATCTCTAATTGTACATCGGAAACATATTGAACAATTATTGATTTGGCTTTATTGTTCATTTTTTGGAATTTTTTCATCTCGTTCTCGCTTAAACCTGTTGTGATTGTTTCGTCTTTTACACACTCTCATACATCATTTTCTGTCAATATTATTTCCATCCGAAACTTCCATGATAACTAATTCTCACCTGTTAGGGCCTCAATATTATACATTTTTCGTTGTTCCATCGTGTACATGTGTATATAGCCTATATTCGCTTTTTGATACCTTATTATTATTTTTCATCCGTGAGCTGGGACCATAACCTTTTGTTTTCTTTAATCATGAATATGGCTAATTAATAAAATAAACTGCTTTCATATTTAACATGTTATAAACTGTTTATTATCTATCAGTTCTCTTCTTATTAGAAAGAGAACATAAAGGAGGTTTTTAGCTATTCACAATAGATTTGGTTAGGAAGAAGACCCAGTATAGTTGACATTTTTAAATGTTCTGAAACTAGCATTCTTCCCGTCGATAAAGGAAATAACAACACTGTCATCTTAAACATGTCTTCTTACATTAGTAAACTCTCAAATCTCATTAATACTCCAGACTACAGAACAATTCCTAATAATCCGACAACATATCTAGAGAAAATAACAAAATCCATTACCAATGAAATCTCTTTTCCTATTTACATAAAACAATCTCATAATTTGTCATAAAAAGTCTTTCAGAACACCTCGAAATTATGGTCTACCCAAAATTTGCAAACCTGCTATCGCTGTCGTCCCACTGTCAGTGCGTACAACTGCTCTTCACAAACATTGGCCAAAGCTCTACAACCTCTCTCCGAAAATGCTTCATCCTTCATCAAAAATTCTTTACACCGTACCCTATCTCACTGTCAGACATTTTAGTATGCTTCGATATCGTTTCACTCTTTACAAACATTTCTATAAACGAAACTATAAGAACATTCTAAAAACTAAATACAGTATCCAGAAAGACCACTTATTTCTCATTAAACATTGTATATTCAACAATTATTTCATCTTCCGAAAGCAATTCTACAGACAAATAAATGCTCCCTACTATCTCCAGTAATTGCCAATATCTTTATGGAAGACTTCAAGACCCGAGCACTTCTTCTTTAAGTACCATCTCCGCGACGAAGGTTGGCAATCATCATGGCTATTCTGACCTTCGAGGCAGCTGCTCTCAACAATTGCCTTGAGCTGCAACCAAACCGCTCTTTCAGGTTCTTCAACCAGGAAACGCGTCTTCTTCCTGCGCTTCTTCTACCCTCTATTTTTCCTTGAATTATGAGTCACAAGATGTTGAATCTTTCGCCTCTCATTACATGTCCGAGATATTGCAATTTCCTTTCTTTTATTGTACTTTCCATTCCTCTCTCTGCCTATTCTCTTTAACACTTCTGCATTCGTGACTATCTACCCATGGAATCCTTAACAATCTTTTAAATGTCTATTTCAAACGCGTTAAGTCCATTTATTGTATTCCGGTTTAATGTCCATGATTCAGCTCCATAGTAGAGTACACCGTGTTCATAGCATTTAATTAGCCTTATTCTGAGGGCCAATGTCAGATCTTTGCTACATAAAATCTTTTTCATTTTCACGAAGTTGGCACATGCTTTTCAATTCTGACTCTTATTTCTGCAGTATAATCGTTATTTTCTGTGATTATCGTTCCCAAGTAAGTATATATTTTTACTCTCTCAATCTTCTGGCCGCCTACCGTTAATATTTGGTTTGTATTGTTGTTTTTGCTAATTTTCATGAATTTGGTTTTTTTTGATGTTAAGAGAGAGTCCGTATTTGCACTATATCTTAATATTTTGTTCATTATTTTTTCTAAGTCTTCCAAGTTGTCGTCTATTATGACTGTATCGTCGGCATACCTAATGTTGTTAATTAAACTTCCGTTCACTTTTATGCCGACTGTCTCGTTTACCAAAGCTTCTTGTATGATTTCTTCAGAATAAGCATTAAACAATAACGGCGACAGTATGCAACCTTGTTTGACCCCTCTGCTTATCTCAACTTTTTCTGACACTTCTTTTCCAATTTTCACATTTGATCGTTGGCTGTAGTATAAATTTGAAATCAATGTTACATCCCTAACATCCAGATTCTTGTTTTTGAGTACTTCTATAAGTCGGTCATGTTTTACTTTATCGAATGCCTTGTTGTAGTCTATAAAGCATACATAAAGATCTCGATTAACATCCAAACATCTTTGGGTCAGTACGTTAAAAGAAAATAGTGCCTTTCTTCTGCCCATTCCATTCCGAAATCCAAACTGGGAATCACTAATATCTATCTTCAGCTTAGCGTGTATATCTATTATGGATGATTTTTAGCAGAGTTTTTAAGGTATGTGACATTAGACTGATCATTCGATAATCACTACATTCTTTGGCATTTACTTTCTTTGGTAGACAAATAAATGTTGATGTCAGCATTTCACGTGGAATGATTGCTGTGGAATATTGTGTTCAATAGTTGAACTAAAAGATCTATGTTTTTTTCATTGGCCAGTTTTAGCAATTCACTTGGTATTTCATCTGGACCAACAGCTTTATTATTTTTCATGGACTTTACTGCATGCATAACTTCTGACTTTGTTATTTCGGGTCCCTCGTCTTTACTCTGATTATCTTCATATATATTTTCCTGTCTCTGGTCATGGAATAATTCCTCTATATATTCTTTCCATCTTCCTAATTTTTGTTCCGTCTCCACTAAAATCATTATCATTATCATATTTGTTTTGTAAGTCTTCTATTTCTTGGCATTTTCCAGCGAAATAAGTCTCTTTATCTTCTCTTATTTCTTCTTATTTGATTATGCAGCTTTTGATACTAAGTTATGTTGATACTCTTTTGCCTTCTTCTGCCCTCCATAATTTCCAAAATTTCTTCTGTCATCCAATCTCCTTTCTTGCATCTGGTTGTTGTGAGTTCCCTACGACTCGGTTCGATAATTGCATTTTTGAAGAATTGTCTTTAAATTTGAAGAAAAAGTCGCTGTCTTTTAATATGACCCTTCTCTACAAATATATTGCAAAATAATTTTTTTGTAGCCAAATTAAAATTCATGTCTGAAAGGGTTAAATAAAATTACATAGAATTAAATAAAACTAAAAAATTTTATAAGATAAAATTATATTATATAGAAGTAAGTAAAGTTATATAAAATTATACTGATGAACTTTGTTGATGATTCTTTGTATATGTAGAACCGAGACCTACACCAATACCTGTAAAAGAAAATAAAATTAACAAAAATAATTCTGAAGCTATTTTCTTATGGCATATTAATACAATCTACCAGTTTTACTGGGAACTAACCACAACTTTTCACTTACAAATATCGTTTTCAAAATGTAAATAAAACAAATACTCTTTTTTTACTTGGTAATAGAAAAAATTCTTCTAATTAATTTCATCTGACTCATTCATATTAACAATTATTTACATTTTAAAGTAGATGACTTTAAAATAATATTGCCAATATTTTTGAGTAGCGTTCTTGGGATGACTTTATTGGAAGATAGTTCAATCGATTACATAAAATCAACTTTAACTTAATAATAACTGTCAAACAAATCATAGCATGTGAGTTGTAAATGAACTATGTTCTAACAAAGTCATATTTGGATATTTTAAATCATAAAGTATTAATTTTAAATTTAAATTGTACCTATCTCAAATTATTTTTCAGAATGCGGTGGTAAAATGCACCTGAGGGAAGGTCAATTTGAGAAGGCTCACACAGATTTTTTTGAAGCCTTCAAAAATTATGATGAGTCAGGAAGTCCAAGGCGTACTACATGTTTAAAATATCTAGTTCTTGCAAACATGTAAGTTTTTTTGGCTATAATGTATGTACAAACACTAAAAACAATAAGTAATGTAGAATAACAGTGGTATATATAACATATAACATAATTCATATATATATATATATATATATATATATATATATATATATATATATATATATATATATATTATATCATAATTCTAGGTTGATGAAATCTGGTATTAATCCCTTTGATTGTCAAGAAGCAAAACCGTATAAAAATGACCCAGAAATATTAGCAATGACGAATTTGGTTACTGCGTATCAGAATAATGATATCAGTGAATTTGAATCTATTTTAAGGCAAAATAGGCAAAATATTATGGATGACCCCTTTATTAGAGAACATATTGAAGGTAATTGTTTATATCTGTAGATTATACATATAACTTTAATAATTTTTTTTTGCTTTAGACTTACTACGTAATATACGAACTCAAGTTTTGATCAAACTTATCAAACCTTATACCAGAATACGAATACCTTTTATTTCTACGGAACTGAATATTGATGTTTCTGAAGTAGAGAGTTTATTAGTATCATGTATATTAGATAAGTAAGTATAATTTTTAATCTCTCAAATATCTCTTAAACAATATGCGATAAAGGCTAAAAGATGGTAAAAACTGCACTCGGCTGGATTTTTATTTGGGGTTGGGCACTTGAAAGTATGTATGGCTAAAATCCAAGCATGCCTGATAAGACAAAAACACGGCCCTCAGTCCCCGGCAGTGACTGATCCTTGGTCAAAGTAGCGATCAAGAAAGAGAGCAAACAGAGGCTACCACGGACGACGACAAATGTATATCGCCACGTACAATGTAAGACTACTGTCATCTGAAGAAAAATTACTGGAATTAGAAGAAGAGTTAAAACACATAAAATGGGACGTTATGGGTCTGTGAAGTAAGCTGCGAAGAAGAAGACTGTAAACTCTTTAAATCAGGGCATGAACTTTTTTATATGGGACACAAAGAAAAAATAGGATGAGTTGGACTTCTTATAGATTAGAGACACTAAAAATATCCAACAACTTAAAGGTATCACCCCAAGAATAATACTCTGCATACTGAAGCTTAACAAAAAAACCAGCCTTAAAATAATTCAAGCCTATGCACCTACATCTACACACTCGGACAAGCAAGTGGAAACCTTTTATGAATACCTAGAAAATGCAGTAAAACTGGCGCCTACTACAAACAACCTAGTAATAGGTGACTTTAATGCTAAGTTGGGATGTAAACTGAACGGGACTGAAGTTGCAATAGGTCCCTACGGATTCGGATAAAGAAATGAAAGAGGCGAAATGTTTTTGGGTTTCTTGGTACAAAATGGCCTCTTTGTAATGAATCGCTTTTTCAAAAAAGTCCCCAAAGAAAATGGACCTGGCAAGTCCAGATGGAGTCACCAAAAATGAAATTGATTTTGTCTTAACCAACAACAAAGACATGGTCCATGATGTAACAGTTCTTAATAGCTGTTCACTGGGAAGTGATCATAGAATGGTAAGAGCAAAGATCGTGCTAAATCTCCAAAAACAAAGATACAAAATGATAACAAAAACACAACCAATAGGATGGAATCCAATCGAAAACACCATGTCCTTCGAAGAGGAAATTCTGAGTTGTCTAGAGACAACAAATATAGACGTTATGGATGTCGAAACCTTAAATGATAACTTAATAAAAGCTATTAAGAACGAAGACAAAAAGTGCAATACAAATCCTAGGAGAGATAGGGAAGAAAAAATCAGTCAAGAGACAAAATGACTTATGGAGACACGAAGAGAACTTAAGAACAAAAACGATATGTATGCACGCGTACTACAACAAGATATTAATAAAACAGTGAGAAAGGACGTACGACAATATAACACAAAAAAGATTACAACGGTTGTCGAGGAAAATAAAAGTTAAAAGGTGCTGAAGAGATATCAAGCTCTAGGTAAGAAGAATATTGTTAAGTTCACAGATCGAAATAGAAAAGTGGTAACAGATAAAGATAATTCTTTACACAGAATTATATAGAAAAAGAGGTAAGAAAGACGGCACCAAGTTGAGAAAAGACCAGAATGTGGGTTCAGAGGATATCCCAGAAATAACAATCGAAGAAGTCTCAAAGTCATTAAATCGAATGAAAAACAATAAAGCAGCTGGTGATCACCAAATCGTTATTAAATCAGTTAAAGCAGGAGGAAAGACAGTATTGAAAGCATTGACACAATTATATAACTTACGCCTTTCAAAAGAGGTTGCACCATCTCAGTGGAATAAAGCTGTTATAGTAGTCATGCACAAAAAGAAAGATATAACAGAGCTAAAGAACTATAGACCTATTAGCTTGTTATCTCACGTTTATAAGTTGTTTATGAAGATAATAACTAATAGGTTGACATCAAAACTAGACTTCTATCAACCTTGCGTGCAAGCAAGATTTAGAGCTGGATACGGAACAAATGATCATTTGCAAACCATTAAGTTGTTAATTGAAAAACCATTGAATATAATAGACCCCTCATACTTGTCTTTATCGACTTTGAAAAAGCATTTGATACAGTCAATCAAAGTGAAATGCTCCAAGCTCTAACACAATGTAAAATAGATCACCGATACATATCCCTCATCAGATACATCTATCAGCATGCTACAGCCTGTGTAAGACTTAATGAAGATACTGGGACCTTTCGTATTGAAAGAGTCGTTCGGCAAGGAGACAACATATCTTCTAAATTATTTACAACTTTGCTAGAATACGCTTGTGAAACAATACATTGGAACGAAAAGGGCATCAATGTAGATGGAAAATAAATAACCTTAAATTTGCAGATGATATCGTTTTTATTGCAGACAGCTTTGATCGGGCACAGATAATGCTCCAAGAAATCCATACTGCCACAAAAAGAGTTGGTCTTAAAATAAATTTTTCAAAAATACAATTTATAACCAATTTAGTCCATAACAAAAACATCTCAGTAGAAGACAAAGATATTGAGCCAGTTAACTCATATAAATACTTGGGCCGTGAGATCGGAATAAGTCGAGTATAAGTCGAGAATAACAGTATTTAATCAGTGTATTTTGCCAGTGATGACCTACGGCGCAGAAACCCTAACACTCACAAGAACAACAGTGAGTAAACTACAAGTTGCGGAAAGGGCAATGGAGAGAATAATGTTAGGGATTTCTCTACGTGATAGAATACCCAATGCTACTATACGCAAAAGATCAGGAGTAGCATACATTATTGAAAGGATAACAACACTAAAGTGGAACTGGGCAGGTCATATTGCAAGATCAGGTAATGACCGGTGGACAAAAAGAATTTTGGGAATGGAGACTCCGAATACAAGTTAACAGAAATAGAGGTCTACCCCCAACGAGATGGACAGATGACATAAAAAGAGTGACTTCAAGTTGGATTCAGACGGCGCAAAATCGGACTAAGTGGAAAAGCATGCGAGAGGCCTATGTTCAGCAGTGGACGTTAGAGGCTAGTGGATGATGATGACTTGAAAGTACATATTTATAAACCGCTTTAGCCAAATATTTAGCTCGGGGTCCCCTATCACAAAAAATGTGTTTTTTCGAAAAACAAAATTTCCTGGGCGATCCTCTGCTTTAAAAAATCTGAAAAATTTTTTGTACATTTTAATGCCCAAACCCCTCTGATTTTTTTTTCAGATTTTTGGATCAAAATAATTAAGCTCAGGAAAAACATTTGAATTTTTTAAAAAATTTTAGGTTATGTAGTTAATTTGTTAGCAAACTTGTAAATCAGTATTTTTCGTGTATTTTTCCGGTCTTTTGAATGCCAGGTTTAGATTTTTTCTCCTGAAAATTCTCAAAATCATTGACATGTGACAAATAACGATTTTTGTTTCTCTTCTTCCTTTATTGGAGTGGTAATTCTCATTTAAATATTTGCAGGCCCTAAAAAAACGTTTTTTCGGATTTTTTAGATCAAAATCGAGTTTAGGAAAAATATTTGAATTTTTCAAAGAATTATTAGGTTGAGGTAAATGTATTTTTTCTATTCTTTTTGAATGGCGGGGTTATATTTGCCATTTTTGCTCTGGAAAATCCTCAAAATTCGAAAAAAAAACCTTTTTTGGTGATTTTCCCATAGCACATTATCTCAATTGTGTGTCAATAAATTACTATTTTTGATATGTTTTTTTTTTCAAGACCGATCAGGTTTGCCATTTTCAGACCAGAACATGTTCAAAATACAAAAATTCTATTTTTTGATGTGTTTCCATGTTTTTATCACATAACCTCCAACTGCATGCGAATGAAAAACGATTTTTCATCTATTTTTTTCCTTTTTTCTTTTAATAACAAAGTCATGGTGGCCATTTCCACAATGAAACAGGTAGGTTCTACTGTGACTTCGACACTGAATTTTTCGGGATTTTTTACATTTAAGCATATAACCTCATTTAAATGTGACAAATAACGATTTTTGTACCCCTGGGGGAATTTGTTTATTGATTAAATTAATAAAATATATTTCAATTTCTTAATTTTGATCCAAAAAACCTGAAAAAAATCAAGGTTTTTGGGCGTTAAAATGTACGTTCATCAATTTTTTTCTGATTTTTTAAAGGAAAGGATAGCTCAGGATTTTTTTTTCTTTCGAAAAAGACACATTTGTGCGAAAGGTATTTTTAAGTGCCCAACCCCAAATGAAAATCCAGCCGAGTGTAGATTTTACCATCTAAATAAAATTGTAAACTAAACTATGTATAAGAGTAAATCTATAACAGATTCCATTGTTTTAGTACCATTCAAGGACGAATAGATCAAGTTAACCAAGTGCTGTTTTTGGAAAGAGAAACGGTAAACCAAGCTCGTTACAGTGCGTTAGATAGATGGGCCAATCAACTGAATACACTTCATGCATCGATCATGAATAGAATGGCGTAGTTTAATGTTTGAATAATAATACGAAAGTGATAGCGCTTGTTGCGCCTTTGATAATTATGTAACAATAAATGTAGACTTTTTTTTCTGTACATTAAAATTAACACGTTTTGACAGTTTTGAATAAAATATTAATGTTGTAATTATGTACTCGCACCACATTAAATTTACCAGTCTCTCCCATACCTGTCCTAACACTAGTTGTTACTTCATTATACATGTATTTTCCACTATCTTCACATACTAACCAGAAGCTCCTTTTTTTTTTCATTAATGTTAAATTCTAATTGAGGGAAATCAACAATCTGGATCCAGAAATGCCTTTGGTACCCACGAAAGTTAATTTGTTGTTATTTCCTCGGGACTGTTTTCGAGTTCCAAGTTGGTACCGACTCGTGTTACAGAATTCAGAGACTCAATATAAATTGAGCTACTTTTGTTTCAGTCACTATGGGCACAAACGTCCCTTGGTGAGATATATGTAATTTGTGCCAACCAATTTTCAACTTTCTTTTGTTGTTATATTTCCTTAATGCGCAAGTTTTTTCTCAACAATAATTGATTTATAGTAGTGTGTCGTTAATTTACACTTATTTGTGGCTTAAAGAGATTATTAGGATTTACTGCAAATCCTACTCTCGAACAACAAGTAAAATTACAGTACATGCAATCGGTAAGTACTATTAAGGCTGTTTTAGCAGTTAAAGCACACTGCGATTTGAAATGAGCGTATCACTAACTTTTCTACACTGCTTACACCAGACCATCATTACTCAGTGGCGCCGGCCGATGGGTTGTTTAATAACAACAAATTCATTATTCTCCATTCAAATTAGTTTTAACACGAACTAACTTAGATTTTAGTATTTTTTAGCAATTTTCTTCAAAGTTGGAACACGCTTGTCTCGATTATTACTGGACACAGAAAGGTGAAAAAAAATTAACGATTACAGAAAAGAAAACTCTTTCAAGTGATCTGCGTAAAAAGTTTGGTTATAGTAGAACGTTAAACAGTATAATCCAATTTTTCAACAGAAGTTTCAAAAAAATAAAAAAAAGTAAAACCATCATTTTAAAGGCAACATAATTTCGAGTAACGTATCCAAATTTTGAGCCTTTTTGTCGGTAAATAACATAGCACGGTGTAACATAGCACATGTCGGTGCACCAAAACACTGTAGGTTTTGGTGCACCGATAAAACAGCCTTAAATTACCTTCCACCCACTGAAGCCCAGAAATCCTTCTCTTTTAAGCATTGTTCTTTCACCGAATTAAAGGCGTTAAGACTCATACTTAAAAACAGCATTATAGTGATCGATTAAATTTCGGGACAGCGAAATAATTTTTCTAGTATTTTCTTCTTAATTCGGAGTATTTGCCGCATTCACTATAACCCTCCATCCTCTACAATTTTGCGATGCCATTTTCCATTGCTTTGCCCCAATCCTAGATAAATCTGCTTCAATATCATCCTTCCATCTTTTTCTGGGACGGTCTACTGATCTACCATCTGGTTTGTCAAAAATCACTGGCTTCCTCTGATCTTACTAATTGACCTGCTCACATTATCCAGTTAGCTTTTTATATGTCTGACAATGTTTTTAGTACCATAGAGAGTCACCAATTCAGCATACCTTCTCCACTCTATTGTCATTTTTCTAGTAATGTGTCTATAATTGGTGTTGCAGGAATTTGGCTAATGTCTATATACATTTTTATTAAATAATTAAGCATTAGCTATAAAAGTATAAAAATGAAGAAATCTAAAAAGTTTAATCAATTTTGTATAGGTTAAGTTTTATATTTACTAATGGATTATAAATATGAGAAGTACTGCCTTGATTGAATGTGTAGCTACATACTGTCATATTGAGATCAAGCAAGTAAGCAATTTAATTGAACCCGACCTAAGAGACTGAGACGCTACGTCTTTTCGATACTGCAATATGGACTTGAAAGCTGGACATTGAAGCAAGAACACATAAATAATTTACAGTCCTTTAATGTGGTGTTACAGGAGGATGCTTAGAATAGCATGGACACAAAAGAAAACTAACACGGAAGTATTGCGAGAAATATGCAAAGAATGCGAAATAATAAACACAATAAAAATAAGAAAGGTATTATGTCGGAAGGACTGAAAACAGAATTGCACCCTGGGAAAAAAGACTGCTGAGGAAAATTGAATTATTGCGCAAATTACGGAATACATCCGAGGAGTAAGAAGTCAAAAACTAATTAAAAGAGCTGAAGAAATTATTCTGAACACTTCAAGACACTCACAACATGATCCAGAAAACAACACAGCTCAACATTGCCTAGACACATTAAAACAAAACCTCTCCGTTTATTCAGGTCGCTTAAGGAGATACACAGTTAGTAAGAACCGTAAATGCGACAATATACTTTTTGAGAATTCAGAGAAGGCTTTCTATAGGAAACTAAATTTCACTGTAGAAAATGTAAATAAATCCTACCCAAGCCAAGAAGAAATTCATGAGTTTTGGGGAAATCAACTTTCGACGCCAGCTACTCATAACAACAATGCTGGATGGATTGAAGACACGGCGAACAATTGTCAACACTACAGGAATATTCCTTATGAACCTTTCACTACTGAAGAAGTCTTGAACATCATCAAAGAGCTTCATAACTGGAAATCTCCTGGACCAGACGGAGTTCAAAACTTCTGGTTAAAGAAGTTTTGGAGTGTACATGAGCTTTTAACAGTTTTAATAATATTATTTCTAATTCACAGGAAATACCATCATTTCTTACTCAGGGAACCACTTATCTAATACCGAAAGATCAAAATAACACCCAAGATCCAGCCAAGTACCGCCCAATTACTTGTCTTCCAACTTTTTACAAATTGGTCACATCCTGTGTGGCCCGGCGTATCTACCAACACTGTGCTCTGAACAATATCATAGAGCCTCAACAGAAAGGATGCGCTAAGGGCTACATGGGATGCAAAGAACAACTTATTATCGACTCAGTTATTTCTAACCAGGCATACACCAAAAAAAAGAAACCTTTTTACTGCCTTCATTGTCTACAAGAGGGCTTTTGACTCAGTGCCGCATAAATGGCTTATAGATATATTGAAAATATATAAAGTCGATGATAATCTCGTGACCTTTTTGAAGCATATTATGACAAAGTGGAAGACCAAAATTCACCTTCAAATACCTGGTGAAACCAATATCGAAACTGAAGATATCGCTATTAACCGGGGCCTTTTCCAGGGGGACTCGTTGAGTCCACTTTGGTTCTGCCTAGCGATGAACCCACTATCTCAGCTGCTGAACTCCACTGACTCAAGATTTAGCATCAAAAATAACAACACTTGTGGCGAAGCTTAATCATCTGTTGTATATGGATGATTTGAAGTTAATGGCTTCCACTCGAAACCACCTAGATCAGATGCTAAAAACTGTAGAAACTTTCTCAAATGATATCAGTATGCATTTTGGGCTAGACAAGTGCCGTATACTAAATATAGTCAGAGGAAAGGTTCAGCCCGGAGGTTTCGATATGCAAGATGGCCAAACTGTTCACAGAAGTGCCAACACTTCTCACAAAGGCGCAAAAACATCATCCACGCAGTGCAGTAGAGAGAACAACATTGCCGCGGTATCAAGGAGGAAGAGGACTTATAGGTGAGCAATTAGATAAACAAATTGCTAATTTAAGAACTTATTTTCAGGTACAGGCTGAGACATTTACTTTACATCGAGCAATTTGCGCAGTAGATGACACAACGCCGCTTAAACTGAGGGAACAAGAAATGCGCATAAACCATCTGACTAAGCAAGAAAAAATGCGCACCTGGATGAGTAAACCTCTGCATGGGCGACATCTCAATGAGATCAGCCAAGAATATGTCGATAATACATCGTCGAACTACTGGTTGACATCAGGAAAGATGTATCCCGAAACTGAGGGCTTCCTACTTGCCATTCAGGATCAGGTAATTCCAACTAAAAATTACCTAAAATATATTGTTAAAGATCCTCAAGTTCAAAATAACAAATGCCGATATGGATTCCAAGCCCAAGAAACCATCCAACATCTTACCGGTGGCTGCCAGGCATTTGTCGGTACCGATTATAAAGAACGCCATGACTCAGTAGGAAAGATTATCCACCAAGAACTAGCTGACAAACTGGGACTTCTCCAAACCGACCATCTTCCTTATTATCAATACGTCCCTGACAGAATGCTTGAAAATCACAACTACAAGCTATACTGGGACCGCACTGTGCTCACATACCAACCAGTGGCCCATAATAAACCGGATCTCATACTAGTGAATAAAATTACCAGGCAAACAACACTTATTGATGTTTTCGTGTTAAATACAACGAAAAGATCGCCAAGTATAGAGATCTGGAAATACAAATCAAGAGACAATGGAGAATGGAAGGTACCCAGACAGTACCTATTGTTCTATCTACTACTGGTGTTATTCCCAAAAACCTCCTAGCGAACATAAAACAGCTGGGTCTAAATGAACATCTTTATAACGCCATGCAGAAAGCTGTACTCCTCGCGACGAAGAGAGATTTGTTCACTCCTTGAAATTACGCTCGGGTGTAAAAATTCATTGGACCGAGGTATATTAATTCGTGTGTTAACAGGATTCACTCCACGGCGCTCCAGAGTCTCCCTATAGCACTCTGATGCGCAATATGGCCACAACTATTAGCCTAATGCTCTTCACTAGGGAGTCAAATTTAGGTTAGTGTTAAGCGCTTTATTGTTGTTATCCCTCTAATGATCTGTCCGCGAACCTGAAATTGCTAACTTGGGCCTCAAGCCTCTGCTCTGGGTTGCGTCTAGTTCAGAGACTTGGTGCATAAGGGGTTGGATCCTACGTGATGTCTCTTTTTGAAGAGCACCGCTTGCGTTTTCTTTGAGTTTATGGCGATTTTCCATTGTATACGCCATTCTTCGGTGTTTTCCAACGCTGTTTACAGGTTATTTACTGATTAATCTACATTTCTCTGTTTGTCCGCTATCGCTGTATTATCGGCATAAATACTGAGTAAAGTTCCTGGTATTCTTAGAATATCGGCAGTGTATATTGTGTACAATAGTGGCGATAGGACCACTCCCTGTGGTACTCCAGCCTCCGAGTTT